TCCTCCTTCTTTTTAATGCTGAAAAAATAAGAAATGAGCAAAAGAAACCTCTCTTTATAAAAAGTGAAAACACTGAGAATTCAGGGTTCCATTTTTCCACTAATGGCTTGAAATAGAGTAAGAAACCACCAAGCCTCTGAGAGAGAGAGAGAGAAAGAGAGAGAGAACTCCACAGAGCAACGACTGATCCACTCAATAGAGGGAAGGCTGGAGCAGGGCCTCTGGTACTTCCTGGAGACAAGCACTAGGCAGACAGGAAACTGGCCCGTTCCTCTTTCCAGAAAGAGACAGGTGAGAATGACAAGAGGAACTCTTGCCAGATCCCTACCATCTGTGGCTAGAGCCCCTCCCGAAGCACAAACCCCTAACCAGACTTTGCGAGCTACAGTGTGCCCCTCTCGCCCTTTCTCGCAGGAAGAAAAGCCTTTCCTGGAAGCTCACCAGGCAGAGCACGTCAAGCTGCTCCTGAGGAAGCCCCCTCTCCAGTAAGCCCCCGCAACAGACCTTCATTCTCCCCTCAGTCTTTGCACCACGGATGCTAACCCCCGCATGCGACAGACCCGAGATGACAGGAGGGCCCTGTATTGGTCAGAACTCCCGTGGTCACTTCTGACGGACGCTTGACCCAACCTGGCTAAAAGAGAGGGTGGAGATGTATGGGCCCTTCTGGAAAACTCTAGAAGACGTTCTGTTTTGGGTCCAGCTGGGTCCAGGGATCAGATTAGGTCTTCCGCTACATTCCTCAGCTCCGCCTTTCTCTGTTAGAGGAGCTTCCTCCTCCTTTAGCCCCAGAATCTCCAAGCTGATGCCTCCCTTGGAGAGGAAACAGAAATTTACCTTCCCAGTTATGCAAATAAAGTCCTAGGAATGTATTTCTAATTTTGGCTCAAATTAGATCACATGACACTCAGGGACCAATCACCATGGCTAGGGAAGTAGGGTCAACTATTAGTTACATCTGGGCCGTACATTCCCCACCAGAGCCAGGAAGTGGTGTCAGCCTCACTCAGTTTTAACCACATGGGTTGAGGGCACAGTCCCAAAGAAAACGGCAAATGCTGTTACCAATCAAACATCTGCCTCGGCTACTCTGTAGACAATGAAATGTCCCGAAAAGGAATATGTCTTAAATAAAGCCGCACCGTGGAAACCTTCCATAGAAAAACCAGTACTTTGGTTAGTGTTAGATTTGTCTCTATGTAGCAGAAAATCCAAGGTAGTAGTGACACCAACAAGAAAAAAATATTCCTCAGAGGGAAAAAAACATCCGTGGAGGTAGGCAGGTCATCCTGATAAAAAGTCTGTCAGTTTATTGGACTTGTGTCCGGCTTGTGTGTGGCTGTGATGCTGGAAGCTATGTCACTGGTATTTCAAATGCCAGCAGGGTCACCCAAAGTGAACAGGTTTCAGCAAAGCTTCCAGACTAAGCACAGACTATGAAGAAGGAATAAGCTGTTCTCTATGGAGGAATTAGTCACTGAAAACCTTATGGAGAGCATCGAAATAGTGTCAGGTACTAAAAACCTCACGAGTGGAAGTAGAACCTTGTCAGAGATCCTGTGCCAGAAGATGAGCCCCTGAGGTCAGAAGGCGCTCAACATACGACCAAGGAAGAGCTGCCTCCTCAAAGCAGAGTCGACCGTAATGGCGTGGAGCGAGCAGAGCTCGCAGGACTGCCTTCAGGGCCTCCGTTTGCTGGTGGGGCATAGCTCAGGATGAGGAGAAACGGCTGCCAACGTCTATGAAACACCAGAACTTAGAATGTACAAAGCATGAATCTAGGAGAATTGGAAGTCCTCAGAAATGAGATGGAAGGCATCAAGATGGATATTCTTCGTGTCGGTGAACTGAAATGGACTGGGGTTGGCTATTTGAATCAGAACACCATGTGGCTGGTTTACTGCACCAGCAATGGAAGCATGAAGAGGAATGGTGTCGCATTCAACATTAAAAAAGGCATGCCAAGATCTATCCTGAAGTACAATATTGTCTGTGATGGGACAATGTCTGTCCACTTGAAGAGAAATCCAATCAATGTAACTATTATTCCAATTTGGGCGATAACCACTAAAGCTAGTGGTGCAGAAATCAAATAAGTCAGCCAGCACCTTCCATTTTAAATTGATCAAAGATGCAATCGAGATGCATTGATGATTATTGGCAATTGGAAGGCAAAAGTTGGCAACAAGAGGGAGGAACAGTCTTTGGAAAATATGGTCTTAGTGACACACAGGAAGCTGGGGAGTGCACGATAGATTTGCAATACCAACAGCTTCTTCACTGCAAATGCCTTTTCCAACCACACAAATGGTGACTGTGCATGCGGACTTCTCCAGGTGGAATACACAGAAATCGAACTGACGACGTCTGGGGGAAGAGACGCTGGATAAGCTCAGCATCCGCAGCTAAACCAGCCCAGGGGCTGACTGGAACAGACCATCAATTGCTCATATGTACGTTCAAGTGGAGCTGAAGAAAATTAAAACAGGTCCATGAAAGCCCAAATTCAACGTTGGGCTATCCCACCTGAATTTCAAGAACATCGCAAGAATAGATTTGGCACATTGAACACTAATGACAGAAGACCTAATGAAATGTGGGATGACATCAAAAACATCGTACACGAAGAAAGCAGAAGTTTACAACAAAGACAAGGGAGAAAGAAAAGATAAAAGTGGATGTCAGAAGAGACTCTAAACTCTGCTCTTAATTGTAAAGTGGCTATGGAAAGTGGAAGAAACTATGAAGTTCAAGAGCTGAACAGAAAATGTCAAAAGCCAGCTCAAGAAGACACAGCAAACATAATGAAAAGTGCAGTTAGAAACCCAAAGAGGGAGAACATGTTCAGCACATCTTCAACTCAAGAAAAAAATCAGTTACTGAGTTGAAATTTTGAAAGATTCTATGGGCAAAATAGTGAGCCCTGGTGATGTAAGTGGTTAAGCATTGGGCTGCGATCCACATGGTCAGCAGTTCAAAACTACCAGCAGCTCCATGGCAGAAAGACTAGGTTTTCTACTCCTGTAACCAGTTACGGCCTCAGAAACCCACGGGGGTCTCTATGAGTCAGCACTCACTTGATGGCAGTAAGAGATGGGGAGAATATCGAACGGTGCAGGAAGTATCCAACGAAGATAGAAAGAATACACAGAGCCACTGTACCAGTCGACAGTCCACCATTTCAAGAGGTGGCGTGTGAGCAAGAACCAAGCAATGGGACCAAAGGAAGACGTTCAAGCTGTGCTGAAACCATTAGCCAAAAACAAGGCTCCAGGAACTGATGGAATACCAAGTAAAAAGTTTCAACAAGCTGGTGAAGCACTAAAAGCACTCATTTGTCGATGCCAGGAAATTTGGAAGATAGCTACTTGGCCACCTGACTGGAAAACCAAGTACCAAACTCACTTCCATTGATTCAAAGCTGACTCACAGTGACTCCCTGTGGGTTTCTGAGACTGTAACTGTGTACGGGAGTAGAAAGCCCGGTCTTTCTCCCAAGGAGCTGCTGGTGGTTTCGAACTGCCAACCAATGTGTAACCACGACACTACCAGAGCTCCAGCTGTGATCTTGTTCTATAAGTTGTACGTTCTGTTAGGTGACCTTTCTCCCCTAGTCAACAGATCCATATTTGTACCCATTCCAGAGAAAGGTGACCCAAGAGAAAGTACAAATTATAGAACAGTCTCACTGATAATACATGCAAATAAAATTTTGCTGAAGATCATCCAACAATGGTTGCAGCAGTACAATGACAGGGCGCTGCCAGAGAGTCAGGCCGGATTCAGAAGAGGATGTGGAACAAGAGATATCATTACTGATGTCAGATGGATCTTGGTTGAAAGCAGAGAATACCAGAAAGATGTTTACTTGTGTTTTATTGACTATACAAAAGCATTTGGCTGAGTGGATCATAACAACTTATGGATAACCTTGAGAAGAAAGAATTCCAGAACACGTCATTGTGCTTCCTGGACGTGGATTAAGAGGCATGCAGAGAGTAAGGGAACACTGCATGGTTTAAAATCAGGAAAGGAGTGCATCAGGCTTGTATCCTCCCCCTATACTTAGTCAATCTGTATGCTGACCAAATCATCAGAGAAATTGGATTATATGAAGAAGAACATGGTATCAGGATTGGAAGGAGGCTTATTAACTGCCTGCGATATGCAGATGATACAACCTTGCTTGCTGAAAGTGAGGAGGACTTAAAGCACTTGCTGATGAAGATCAAGGATTTCAGCCTTCAGAATGGATTACAGCTTGTGTTAAACTCAAGAAACAAAATAATTAGACACTCATATGTGTATTAGAAAGAGCTTTATGTACAAGAGCAATTGAATATTGAGAAAACATCCCAGTCCAGTCCAGATCAAGTCCATAAGTCTGATATTAGCGCATATGTCCAATACCAGTCTATAAAATTCTCTTCAGACTCACAAAACACATGCAATGACGCCAAATGTAGAAGATCACAGGCCAGTGGGTGGGAAGTCTGTGGATCCAGAGGCGTTGTAAGCATCTCAGTGCTGGCAGGGGTCTTCACGTGGTTCCTCCAGCTCCCAGGGCTCTGGCTGCATCAGGGTAGCTTCATGTGGCTTCTCATCAGAAATGTCACACAGGGAGTGTGCAAGTGTCTCACCTCCAGTGAGCTATTATCTCCTAGGCAAGCGCCTCCACATGAGGTCATCAAGCTGAAACCTGATTGACAGGTAAACTCCACCCCTTCACCCCTAAGTCTCAACCTGACAACAGATTTTGTAACTACCACACAGCTCAATGTGAAAACAAAACAGAAGGCTTCCCCCTCCCCAGATCCTCACGACTGGACCGACAGGTAACATTATGATAAATGGAGAAAAGATTGACGTTGTCAAGGGGCTCATCTTCCTTGGAGCCGCAAACAGTGCTCATGGGAGCAGCAGTCAGGGGACCAAATAACGCACTGCACTGACTCAGCCTGCTGCCCAAGACCTCTTCAGTGTTGACGGACAAGGATGTGACTTTGAGGACTAAGGCACAGCTGACTCACAGCATGGTCCTTTCACCCGTCTCGTCTGGGTGTGAGAGTTGGACGTTGCATAAGGAAGAACAGAGGAATCGATGTGGGTGAATGACGGTGCTGGCGAAGAATCTGGGAAGTGCTGCCAAGAGAAGGAACCAATCTGTACCAGAGCCGGTCGGGCCAGGATGCCCTTGGAGGACAGGATGGTGAGACTCCATTCCACCTACTTTGGACCTCGCGTCGGGAGAGACCAGTCCCAGGAGAAGAGCATAGAGCGGAAGTGAAACAGAGGAGAGCCTTTGGCAGCAAGCTGGATCAACCCGGCAGCTGGAGCAACGGGCTGGCACGTGAGAGCATGGTGAGGAAGACGCAGGACCGGCGGCGCATTGTTCGGATGGACATAAGATTGCCATGGGCCACGACTAACTGGACGGCAGCTAATACCAACACCACCATCATGGCGGTGTGGGGACTGTCCTTCTGCTCTGACAGCTCAGTATGTGGTTCCCATCCTCAGGGTTACTGCATAGTCCCAGCGGCTGCTGGCCCTCCAGCCTGGAGCGGCCGCCACACCGGCTTTTGCAGACAGCAGGGAAGAAGAAAGAAGGCCGAGGAACGGCCTTCCCGGATCCACGGAAGCAGCTTCCCAAAGCCCCACGCGGCACTCCTGCTCACATCCAGTGGGCCGGCCCTCTGCTGTCCGGTCACTTAGCTGCAGGGGGATTGAGGAAGTGTGGTCTTTGGTTTGGTAAATTGCTGTCCCTAATAAAACTGAAGGAAAAGGAAAGGAATGAATGAAAACCAACGAGGCGATGGCCTGTACTCTCTCCCTACTTCGAACTCCAAGACGGAGAGGAGGAGGGGATGTGATCTTGAGATGAACTGAACATTTGGCTCAGAGCCTCTCTCTGTGTCCTTGTGGTTTATGCATTCACAGAGAGAGAACGAAGTCTTGGTTCCAAACCAGGATTTATGAATGGGACCCCTGCTTTCAGTTCCCGAGCAGAATGATTGGAACCACTGTGCTGGCTTTCATCTGTCTGTACCTGGTAAGTCGCTCAGAGACAATCCTCGTCTATTTTGTGATTAGGGTGGGGCGGGGGCTTGCAGAAGTTCCCATGCAAGAAGCCTGTATATATATATATGAGTTGAATCTGACTCATAGCGATCCTATAGGACAGAGTAGAACTGCCCCTGTGAGTTTCTGAGACTAATTAATTATGGGAGTAGCAAGCCCCATCTTTCCCCCACAGAGTGGCTGGTGGTTTCAGACTGCAGCCCAATAGGTGCCCATGATTCCACCAGGGTTCCTGGGGGTTCCCTAAAAGCTGGGTCACACTTGTATTTCTGTCCGTCAAAGAAGAATCCTGTTTTGACACACACACCCCATCCCCAATGTGGCCACCGAGATAACCCTTACTAGTGAAAGCAAAGGTCCACAGAGAGCTCAGCAGAGGCCTGGCTCAGACACAGCGCAGAACCCGAGAGAGGGAGACTTGGTTTGAAGGCACCGGCAGTCCATGAGAGAAAACAAAGCAGGTGGACGTGCATCGAAATTCCAATGAAGTAGTCTAGACTTCCAGGCTGCCTGAAGATGATGGCGTTTGAGCTCCTCTGTCAGAGAGAAGTGAGAGTGGGTCAGTGGAGAAAGCTGCTAGCAGCAACTGGAGATGCGGTGGTGGGTGGCAGGAGGCGCAGTGGCAGGGTGGCAGGATGCGAGGTGGCGGTGGGGGGGGGCGTGTAAGATGTATGGTAAGATGGGCAAGCATCCGCTGGGTACAGGTATGCCCAAGATGTGGAGCAGTAGCAGATTAAAACCAGAATCCTCCTTAAACCATCTCTTGCTCCAAGTAAGCCCTTCATTTCACTCTGGTTCATCGATGTTCTGACAGTCTCTTCGCAATTTGTCGGGTCTGCTCCTGCGCTGTGGGGCGACGACCTCCCACCGCGCACAACCTAGTTCACGGTGGCCAGTGTCCAGAGCCAATCTGAGAAGAGTGCTGACTGCCGTGGAGAGGCCGGCTGCTGAACCTCTGGGGGGTCTGAACACTGCTCACAAACCAAGCTGGGGGGGGGGGGCTTTGAAACCTGTGCTTCGTGTCCGCAGTTCATTGTCATTGAGTTCTGCGTATTCACGCATGTGAGAGAGGAGCTGGATCTGTTTGAAGGCAAACTGGACAGCCACATCGGGCCCCCGAACGACACAGGGATCCTGACCCCCGTCATCCTGCAGGTGAAAGAGCTCATCAGTGTGGCCAAAGGTAAAAACTGATTCAAGAGGGTGATTCGTCTTTGATCGCTGGGTGATGAGTTCTTTATCTACTCGTCCCTTTGCAGATATGTGATGGGCAAATATTTTCTCCCATTCTGTGGGCTGTCTTTCCATTTCTTTCCACATTCTGCTGTCTCCCGTGTATAAGGATCGTAATTCCTTTCTTACATTTATTCCTAAGTATTGTATTGCTTTTAAATTTTTCTCGTGTTAAACATACATAGGAGGACATTGGCCAGTTCAACCACTTTTAAGTATACCATTCAATGGCATCTATCACAGTCCCCGCGTCGTATAACCATCACCACTCTCCATTTCTAAGTGTTGGCCCACCCAGAAACTCAGCACCCAATGAGCAACGACTCCCCCTCTCTTCTTCACCCAGCGCCGGGTGACCCCAGACACGCGTGTCTGTGCCTGCACTTCCCTTTCCTGCATATTGTACCTCAGCTAGACCGTGTAGTATCTGTCACGGGAGGGTGGCTTGTTTCTCTCCACGCCTTTCCACGTTTCCTCCACGTATGCATCTGAGCTTCCTTTCCCCGTGTGTTCCACTGGGCACACACTACATTTTATGTATCCGTTCATCTGTCCATGGACACTTGGGCTTTTTCTACCTTATGCGATTGGGCATAGTGCTGCAGGGAACATTGGTGCTCCCTTCTTTGGCTGGATCCCTGCTGTGGGTCTTCTGGGGCTATTCCTTGGAGTGGAATTGCAGGGGCATGTGGAAATTCTCTGTGGACCCTTCTGCCGAACCACCAAGCTGCCTTCCTTAGGAGTGCTGTTGAGCCTCGCGTTTCAGTGCTGGTGACTGTTAGCACCAGTGATTCTACTTGGCCCCCTTTGACATCGCTGACGTAACTCTTTACTGAGTTCCTGGCGCTGGTCACGCATACATTCTGCCCAGACCTGTCTGACGGGGGAAGGGTTTCCAAAACCGTACTTCTGGTTTGCTTTCTGAGGCCTCTCATTTTGCCTCTTCTATTTCAGGAGTCTGGGTGGTGACTATTTTGCCTGCCTCCCTCACGTGTGTGAACTACCTGTTCCACATTTTGGCCTGTTACAGGTAAGCGGGCTCTCAGGGCCGTTGGCGTGCCTGCAGCATCAGCCAGGCTCTTGGGAGTGGTGCCGCAGAGCGCAGGCCCGGGGAATCTGCACACGACTGGTTGTTAGGCTGCTGTCGGGCGCTGTCCAGTTGGTTCCGACCGACCATGACCCAATGTAACGCAGAAGGAAGCACCGCCGGGCCTGCGCCATCCTCACAACTGTTCTTACGTTTGAGCCCATTGTTTGTGTCCGTCCATCTTGTGGAGGGTCTTCCTGGACACGGTCTAGGGACAGTAAAATCTATTTTCTAGGGGCGACAAAACCTATAAGAACCAAAAAAATACTAACCTACTGAGTCGAGTGTTTCTATGAGCTAGACATTATTAGCATTTTCGTTTGAATTTCACCATAACCCTGCGGGATATGTATGATTATTTCCATTTTGACACCTGAGGAATAAGAGGCTCGACCAATCACACGACGTGTCTGAGCAATTAGCAGAAGGGCAGCCCTTGCTGCTTTCTGTGCACCCCAAGCCTCTCTAGGGGGTTCAAGATCTGCCACTACACGCTCTAGTCATGGACATTGAACACTAATGGGAAAAATACTGGAGTTAAAAACGTTGAAGACATAAAAGCAGGTGCAAATGGGAAGGCAGGCCTTTGACCTCGCTCCGTAAACATCAGACTTGCGTAGGGTCGAGGATGGGACTCAAGCCGGGGGATGGGAGGCAGTTGGTTTGTTAGGGGGGTGGGATTGTAAGGAATTTGTTCCCTCTTTAAACTTTCCCTTTATGTTGGTATAAAGGGGCCACAGTAATGTTATCTTTAAGTGCTTGGCTGTCAGCCCAAAGGTTGGCAGTTTGAAAACACCCCCCACCCCATGCGCTGCAGATGAAAGGCCTGGCTATTTACTCCCATGCAGATGACAGCCAGAAAACCCCATGGGACAGTTCCACATGCTACATGGATTCACTGCCAATCAAAAGCCCCCAGACGGTCCATGGGAGAAACATAGAAGGTGTGCTGGCGATCACGTTGGCTTTCTGCTCCGGCACCTCATTGCCCACTAACGTACTTATTGCAGGAAATTAGAAAGCATAAACAAGAAAACGAAGAAAATCATTCCTGCCGCGCTGCCAGATTCAATCCCATCGCTTTCCTGAGAAGATACTCTAGCAAAGTGGGACTGAGGTCCCGGATAAGGCTTCTGAAGGGAATCCAAAGTCTGAGGGGTCATGAGCAGCGCAGCCCACCCAAGGCCTCGCTGTCGATGTGGCTGGAACTCTGATTCTGCACAAGGAGCTGTGGTGACTAACATGCTCAATGCCCTCCTTCTCCCTAGAAAGCACATCAAGAGGCTGTGGTCTGGAAACAAACACTTCCTTCCTGTGACGCTACGCAGCCTGTCCTCCTCGGAGAGCGTGGTAAGTCTGCAGTGGCCGCTGGGGACAGCAGTGGGCCGGGCCAGGGCCAGGCAGTGCTGGGGGCAGAGCCCCCAGCTGGGCATCAGATTCTTCCATTCCAGCCCAGGGGCTGCGCTGTGAGTCAGGCCAAGCCCTTCTCCCTCTGGCTCCGGTTCCCTCATCTGCTCAATGGGAACAACCCCCTCCCCCACGTCTCCAGGGCCGGTGTGTGACGTGCAGAAGGTCGGTTAGAGATTGTGAGGGTCTGGGCCCCTCTGAGATGCCTCTTGCTTCTCTGCTGCTCTGTTCCATTTTCACTGTGGTGGAAGCAGACGTGGCCACACACGTGCTCTCTGAGCCGTTCCTACAGGAACAGTACAGGTGACCGTCTTCACGCTCCTCTCCCAAATCTCATTCCCCCACCCGGTAACCCAAGCTCTCTTCTCTTTCTTAAATCTCAGGTGGCCATAGCAAGGTATTCTGGGTGGCAAATAGCCTATATCCTGTGGGGTAAGTGCCACTACTGGACTCATTCCGTCTGCGCACGGCTCCTGGGCTCCTGGCAGGGAGGAGAGGAGCGTCCCGTGCAGCCCTGGCCCCTGCCCTCTTGGGGCCCTCAGAATGGAGGGAGGAGGGCGCTTCAGAAGGGTTGTGGAAAAATGGGATTCAACCATAGTGGAGTTTTCCCACCAACCTTTTTTGGAAGCCTCACCTGTTCTACCCCCAGGGGCACTCTAAACTCAGAGTGGTGGTGACACGGAGGAGGAAATGCCAGGCTGTGTAGGGGGAGCGTGGAGGGTGGGGGGACCATGAGGGGGTGCTTGTGTGTGTGTGTGTGTGTGTGTGTGTGTGTGTGTGCAGGGCCTCAATCGACCAGCACTCTCTCCTCCTCAGGTTACCTCATCATCCACGTGATGCAGAGCCTATGCGGCATGATGCTCATGTACAGCCTGGTGCTGCCCATCACCCACAGCCGGGGCCTGGAGGTGCTGCAAGGCCTGGGCATCGGGATGTGAGTGCAGGGGGCCCGGGAGCAGGAGGCCGGGGGCCCCTGAGGTCACGCTCCAGAAAGCACCCTTTCCCAACTGGGCTCTGGGCTCTGGTCTTGGTTCTGACCAGGAATGGTTTATCAGAACAGCTCCCTGGAAAGGGAAGCTTACAGTTCACGAGACATTTCACCCAGCGTCCCGAGCCTCCGCTCACAGGCGAGGGGGTGAAGAGACACCGAACACTCAGCACTTTGTCCCAGGAAGGCAAAGAGCTGGGATTTGAAGGCAGGCAGCCTCCCACCTCTGCTCTAACCACTACTCCATACTGCCACCCAGGAGAGGCCAGCATGGGGTGTGGTGATTTCCGGGGGTCCCCCTTGCTTTGAGCATCTCTGTAACCCCCTCCCGTGCTCACCTTGTCTTAAGCCGGCTGGCTGCCCTGCTCATCTCCTGTGGCTGTCTTGAGCACCCTGAAAACCTGTTGCCACCCTAGGCCTCAGGGGTGCTGATCTGGAGCCAGAGGGCTTGACCACGTGGCCGTGGGAGTCACCTCCCTTGGGGGCCTCTGCACCCTCGCCTGGATCTCAGTGTGCAGGGAGCAGTAATGGCCAGAGCCTGGGTTCCTGCTGGTGTGCTGGGTGGGCAGCATCCCTCTCCTCAGGGCCACCCTGGGGCCATGGGGCCCTCAGGACGGCCCCACCCTGTGTTTCAGCCTCACCATCACCATCATCGTGGGTATCATGATCCTGCAAGTGTGGATCGCTGCCAGCTTCTTCCTGCAGCCAAAGATGACCTCAACGGACAAGCAGAAGCCCCTGGCTCTCAACAACAGGTGGGAGGGCGGAGGGAGGGGAGCTGCAGGCTGTCTGGGAGTGGGTGTGCCTCAAAGTGCCTGGGTTCAACTTCTGGCTCCACGACTTACCTGTGTGACCTTGGATGACCTCACCATACACCTATGGACCTATTTCCCCAATTTACAAAGAAAAGTACATATATCAGAGGTGTGTTAGGAGGAGGAGGAGGAGGATTACACACGAAAGGGCCTTGGAGTCTTTGTGGAGGCTGGGCAGTGTTTCTCAGCAGGGTGGGGTGGGGCTGGCGGGGGAGGGGAAAGCCTGCCCTTCAGAAGCTCCTAGTGCTGGGGTAGAGCCCAGCGTGTGCAGAGGAGAATGCCTAGAGAGGAAGTGTGGACAGTGGACAGGGAGGGACGTCAACGGTGGCAGGGAAGAGGCCGAAGGAACCAAACAAACTCACACCAGATTCAGATCCGGGGCTGCATCGTGGGGACGCCCCGTGGGACTGAACGCACTTGCCCCGTGGGGTTTCCTTGGCTGTCGCTTTCCCCTCCCACCACACATGGCCAGGATTTCCTCCCCTCCACGCCCCTGGCGGATGCGACTGTCCACCGGCCGGAGTTACGTGGAACCTTCTGTGGTGCCCGTGGGCGGCTGGGGGGGAGGGTAACCAATTCTGTTGCAGGTGGAACAGGGGTGAGGGCAGCAGCTCAGGGAGGATGCCGGCGGGGAGGGACCGGGAGGGGGCTTGCTGGCCGGGCAACCACGGGGTGGAGGCTGGAAAGAGACAAGGGGAAGATGTCTCCGGAGAAGAGGGAGTAAACCAATGTGGTGCCGGGCAGTGTCCTTCGTGGGTCAGCAGCAGGGAGAGGGGCACGGGTGGCAGGGCCAGAAGGACTCTGGTCAGACACAGGGCCTGGACTATCAGGATGGGCCCTTGTGACTTTCTTCCGAAGCCAGCCGGGAACCACTGTGGGGAGGTTCACACCGCCAGATGGGCGGACCGTCTTGGCTGGAGGCGGGTCATTATGGGACCAGAAGCAGCCACAAAGCCAGTGGCAGCCACGGGAGGTTTCTTGTACTATTGTTGCTACGTTCCGACCCATGGCGACCCCTAAGCACAACAGAAGGATACACCGCAGGGTCCTGCGCCGCCCGCCCAGTGGTTCCTCTGCCTGAGCCCATTTCGGCAACCACCGTGTCACTCCATTTCCTTGGGGGTTTTCCTCTTCTTCACCCTTTGTTCTACAGGAAACCTCAACATCCCCAAACCACGTGAAATAGTTACAGCCCCTGTAGCCGAGCACTGCCCCCTCCCCCCATCACCACCAGTGCCCCGGGGTAGGTGCCAGCTTACAACCCAAGGTCACCAAGCTAGGTGGCTCCGGGGCCTTCCTGCCTAACCTCCTTGCCTCTCCTTGCTGGCTTCTGTCTGCAGGAAAGCATTCCACAACTTCAACTACTTCCTGTTCTTCTACAACGTGCTGCTGGGGCTGGGCGCCTGCCTCTCCAGGCTGCTCACCAGCTGCATCCTGGGCACGTGGCTGATTGCCCGCATCGACAGGACCATCATGCAGAAAGGCTATGAGAGAGCAGACATGGGTAGGTGCCCGACCCCAGTGACACCGCCTCTGGGCAGGGCTGCTGTCATCAACCAGGTGGCGGAAGTTGGGCCCTGCCTCATGGCATGCATCTTCCCAGGGCGCAGGAAAAACACGCTCAGCCCAAGGCTTAGGTCCAAACCACCCTGCCAAGCACTTTTAACAGCCCTCTGGGCTACAGCAGCGGGGCAGTGAGAGGCTGTCCAAATCCTTAAGCGGACTCCTGAAAGAAAACTAAAACCCAAGCTGGCTGCAATCTTTTCTGGGTCTGGGTGGGGACACACACACACACATACACGCATGCACGCACGCACGCACGCACGCACGTGCTCCAAAGTCCCCAGGGCTGATGCTTCAGAAGCCGACCCCCAGGCCGTTCTCCTAGGTCCCTTTGCGTGGGTTCAAACCGCCAGCCTTCCAGCAGGAAAACAGCCTCTAACATCCGAAGGGCCAGTAGGCGCAGTTGCATGACGATAATATATAAAGATTATGGTAAAGCCATAGAGGATATTAAAGATAGGAGAGAGAGTAAAATAAAGGAGTCAGACAAGTTTAATGGCAGTGTGCTCACCTCTGCCCCTCTCGATGGTCCACGTGGAGCTGGGAGAAGGGACAGCCTGTGTACTGTCTCTTGGGACATTTATAGGAAGCCATCAGACATGCATATTCAGTAGTTACATGCGTCACAAGGTAGGTGGTAACTACATTAGGGTTCCTGAGCTCACAGGTGAAGGCCTTAATACCTGCCTTGGGGGAAGGCATGAGGGGGCTGGGTGACATGGCGGGAAGAGATGGCAACGGGATGCCTGCTTCCGTAGGGAGATAAAATCAACCATGTGCTCACGTTAAGGCAGCACAGCTGTTAGGGAGAATCTGTGGGAATGATATTTAAAGCAGGATCATGGACTTTACCTCTAACTTAGCAAAGTGGAGGCTTTCCTACCGTGGAATACTAGCTTTCCAGAGTCCCCTGTGATAAGTTAGGGAATATAGTCCTGGTCATGTTTCCCTCGGTGTTAGTTTCCCACAGCCAGCAGCTGAGCGCTTAACCGCGTGTGCCACTCAGAGGCTCCAAATGAGGAACTGGCTGCTTGGCAGCATGGACACACCAAAAATGAACGCCTCTCGGAATTGCCAGGGTCCCGGCTCGGAAGTGTGTTCAGTGAAGGACATGGTCCCCCAGGCACCTCGAGGGAGCAGCATCCTGTTTGTGCCCCTTTGTGGCCCACGCCCTCATCCGTCCCAGGTGCAGAGCCTGGAGCCCCAGGTGCTCCGTAGAAGGGCGGGATCAGAAAGCTGCCTGCTCTTCTTTACACCTGGTTTCTGCTGTGTCCCAGCAAAGACGCAGGTGCGCCGGTAGGCCACAGGCAGGCACTGCAGCCGCGTGCGTGGGTCAAGAAAAGCACCCAAAAAACCAGACAGGGAAGACCTGCCCTGCCTGAGGTCCTCTCTGCCTTCCAGGCTTCAGCACGTGGATCGGCATGCTCTACGTGGACCATTACCACACCAACCCTGTGCTGGTCAGCTTCTGTCACATCCTGATAACCGGCCACCGGGAGAGGAAGCTGCAGCGGGTCATCAAATGCTGGTACCTCAACCAGTCGGCAGGTAACTTCTAGTGTTGGGATCTGCACTGGGGTCAGACAGCGGGAACTCACTAACCGAGGCCAGAGCGGTGGGGCAGCAGTGGGTGGGGTGGGGTGCGGTATGCCCTCCATACCACCTTCCCTGCCCCACCCCCAGCCCCTTGGGAGCACAGGAGGCATGGCTCCCAGGCCCTGTGTCCTTATCCTGCTCACTGGGCTCTTCTGTGGGGACACCGACCTGCCAGCTGGGCCTCAGTCTGTGGACACTCACCCGGACTGTCTTTGTCTGCCAATACTGCAGGCGCACAGCTCTGCCGGGCCGGACCACCTTATGACCCATGGGGTACGAGGGGCCTGGCTCTTATATCTAGGAGTCCTCGCCAGCTCAGCGCGTTCTGCCAGCTCTACCTTCACCCATTCTGCTCTAGGTCCCCGGGTGTCGGCTCGGTCCAAGACCAGGTGGCTCCTGTTGCAGACTCTCATCAACAACCCCAGTCTCGTCCAGCTCAGAAAAGCCCAAGGGCGCGGCAGCCGAGCGTGTGCTCAGATGCCGTGGCCATCCTCTGAGAGCTGACCCTGGCCCTGGCACCTGCTGCCAGGTCAGGCCAGCTCCTCTGGAAGACAGCCAGGGTGGTGGGAAACTGTCCCTGCAGAGAGGTGGGATGGCACTCGCACTCAGTGTGCAGGTGGCTGAAGTGCCAGCCAACCACGGGGAGTGGGCTACCTGAATTCTCCATCGACGAGATCACCCTCTTGGTTTGAAACAATGAGAAAGAAAAAAAAAGACCCAAAACCAAAGAAAAGTTCTGTTGAACAAGTTTTACCCAATAGCGCTTCCGCTGTGCGTGGTGGGGACTTGGTCTTGGGACTCATGTGACAAAGACCCTGTGTTAGTGCCAGTTGACTAGAGAAACAAATCCAGAGACATTCATAAAGGTGTCAGAGAGAACTTTATATCAAGAATTATGCATCAATAAAACACCCCAGCCCAGATCAAGTCCATCAAGTTCGATATTAGCCATGAAGTCTTCAGACTCACGCAGCCATGCAATGATGCCGAATGCAGGAAGATCACAGCCCGGTGGGTGCAAAGTCCTGTGAGTCTAGTGGCGGTGGAAGCATCTCCAGGGCCCTGGCTGCTATCGGCGGCGTGGCTCCCTGCGGCTCATCAATAGGAGGGTGAGGCAGAGAGAGTGTCCCACCTCCAGGGAGGAAGAGAGGAAGTCCCAGAATCCTCATGAGAAGGCCACGCCCACAAAGAGGCATCACCAGGCTGTGACCTGATGGACAGGCTAGACTCCACTCCTTCATTCGGATTTATCAAGTTGACATGAAATTGTGTCACTACCACAGACCCCCTCGAGTGTGGCTCCCCCACAGAAGGTTGTGTTACTGGAGAGGGCGGTCCATGTTCTCCATCAGACTGCGGCTTCCTCTGAGCAAGGTCCTGCTGGTGTCCTCTGTGGGCATGGGCGGTGGGGAGAAGAGGATGCCGATGACAGCTGTGGCGGCCGCAATCTGATAGGGTGAGCAGACTCAAGTCAAGCCGACACCTTGATCCCAGGGTAGTGGTGGGGGGTGGGGGGTGGGCAGGGGCAGACCCGAACTGGCTGGAGTTGAGATCCCAGTGAAAACTGTGTGGGGTCTCTCTGGCCTTGGTCAGGTGGCCAGGAAAGCTGCCTGGCTGAGAGGGGCAGAGACGGAAGCCCCTGCAGGTGTCAGGTGGATGAGTCTTTGCAAGTGTGAGGGGGCAGGGTGTTGGGGGGCTGGGTAGGATTAAATGTCATGCTGTGCAAGTCTGGTCTTTTCTCTTTGCCGGAGAAAATACCCTGTCAGACAGAGTTTGCAAAGCTGTCAGCTTGACAGGAGCAACACTGGTGGCACAGGGGTTAAGCATTTGGTGGTTCAAACCCACCAGCCATCCCACAGGGGATAGATGAGGCCATCAGCCCCGGTAGGGCCATCGCCTTGGAGACCTCTGGGCCATTCGTGATGGGCATGCTCGGCCTGGACCACCATCACAGGGTTCTACCCCGACCTTCGGCCTCGCCGTGAGTGGGAATCCGCTCAGCAGTAATAGGTTCGGTCTGGCTTGTCATCTTTGTGGAAGCAGGCTGTCTTCTCCTCTTTCCCCCAAGGAATGGTTGGTGGGCTCAAATCAGTGACCTTCTGGTTAGCAGCTCAGGGCCCAGTCACTGCGCCACCAGGGCCTCCTCTTTGCAGAGGGGAACCAGTCCTTGGGTTCAAGCACACGGATTCTGATGGCACATCATCCCTGGAGTCTGTCCAGAGGCAGGAGCTGTCCAGCAGGGCCGAGGGAAGTCTGTCCCAGAGGCACCGAAGCAGGCGCAGTCGGCACTGCTGAGCACTTAGTACAACACGCCCAGTCCTGTTGCTGGGTAGGTTTGTCTCTTGAAGCATCATCACCCAGCGGACTTAGTCACCCTGCTTTAATAAGGAGCTACTGCCGCTGTGCTGGGGTCAGGGGTCCATCCTCTCTCAGTCTGTTTCCTGCATTGGGGGGTTCTCCTCCTTTGCTGGCTTCCTACAAGTTGGAATGCCCCAGGACTTACTGCATCTCACTGCCTGAGATTTTCTAGTTACCCTCTCTAAGGCATCTCATTCTTACTTTTCGATACCATGTGGATGCTGTTGACCTCCAAATACCTACCTCCTGCCCAGCTCTCTCCTGAGCTTAACAACTCAGACATCCAAGTCCCTACATGACATCCCCATTCTGATGTCTAATTGGGTCTCCAAACTTATTTGCCTGGACAATACCTTGGGGTTTTTTCCGCTCTTTCTCTACACACACACACACACACACACACACACTACCACTTGCTCAAACCAGTCACCTTAAATTCTCCTCTGCCCCCCTCACCCCACCCCACTCTTCACCCCTAATGCTCAAGCCAGCACAGTTTTGTTGGCTTTCCCGTGAAAACTGATCTCAAAACCATCCCTTCTCTCCACCCCCATTATCAATTCTAATCCAAGCCAATCATCTCTTCTGTCAACCAATGGAGCCTCACAGTGTCTGCACTGTGGTCTCTTAAGGATACTCTACGAACATCTGCCTTTCTCTGGTCTCTGTACTACTGCATTCGGAAACTTCTATAATCCATTCTCCACACAGCAGCCTTTATGATCAAGTTATACTCCTATTTAACACTCTCCACTGGATGCCTGTGTCTCACTGAATAAAACCATCTCTACCTACCATTCATCAGTGGTATGACTTAGTATTCCTTAAAAATTCACATGTCTCTGTGTCTGGGTCTCTGTATGTAAAAGGCACTAAAAATCTAGAAACCAAGTTAGAAATGTTTGTAAAATGTGGACTTGGGGAAAAAAATCACTTAACAGACCTGGAAAAAAAAAAGCTTTGAAGACATGCTTTGTATGCTAACAATGACAGCTTCGTCCCACGAGCCAATATTCCATGGCGAAATATGCTCTTGCTGCAAGGTTTATGATCAGCAACACTGGATGAAAACCAATTTCCTCACCCCTTCGCAGCAGAATGAGGAAGGAGGGCAGAACTATGGCAGGGCCCTGAACCATGACTTAGGGGGCCCAGTCCTTGCTGGAGCCTGTGGACCTAGGACAGGCTACAGTGAGGATGCCTCCTGGGTGAAGGGAGAAGGGAGGCCCTCGATATCCCTCATGTCACCCAGAACCTACCTCTAGGCCCTGCTCTTTCTGCCCTCAGAGGCTCCGAGAACTGCTGCAGTGCTGGCTCTGGTCACCAGGGGGAGACAGCTACTCCCACACTGTGCTTGGCAAGAGCTGCACCCTGAGCCAGGGGAAGAGTCATCCCAAGGCTGTTCTGGGGTCCCCCCGACTCAGACCGTTATTGGCACCCATCTTCACCACCTGCGCTGGTCAGAGGAGCAGGGAGGCACCTCCCAGAACACACCACTCATTTAGCAAACATACCTCGAGCACTCACTCTGGGAGAAGTGTTAAAGCCACCAAGGTGGCCCCCTCCCCGCCGGGAAGCCAAAGTCTAGATGCCTGTGCAGGAGCCAAATGGATGTGAAAAGAAAGGGCAGGTGGTAGAGAGATTAGGGCGCAGGGTGCTGTGAAGGGGAATGGTGGAGAGAATCTCTGAGGAGACACTTATGCCGTGCGCCCCATCCGCACGAGTCAGTGGAGGATGTGCCCAAGAGATGGCAGGAGTCCAGACAGAGCAAGCAGGAAGGTGGCCGTGTACTCGCTGGAGTGAGGCTGAGAGGTCAGAGGGGGAAAGCAGGTGCCTTTCTGATACGGGGCCTGTATCAGTCATGGACTGAATGCCCCGACACCCCCCCACGCGACACCCCCCCCCCCCACGCGGAGCTTTTTTTCTGTGCACAGCCTAGCTGGGCGCCTTGGCTTCTTGGTCTGCTAGTCAGCACACCGGCAACTGGCAGAATCATTTGGAAGCGGTTGGGCTGAGCGCTTCAGTGCCTGTTGGCCAGACCCGGCTCTCCACAGGGCAGCTCACACCACACCACGCTTCCGCAACCCCGAGGGTGGGGGGTCTGAGAGGGGAAGGGGTGCAGGGGAAGATGAGATGCCAGAGAACAGAGAGGGCAGGACGGAGGCGATGACTTTATAACCAGACGTCCGCAGTGATGTCCCATCATGGTCATATTCTTACTAGTTCTAAGTGAGCCCTCCCCACCACCAAGCGCAGCCCTACTCTGGGGGGGGCAGGGGGGCAGGGGTGGTGGGTTGAGGGAGGGTTCCCAGAAGAATATGGTCACCAGAGGTCAGGTCATGGGCCACCCAGCCCATGAGCCCAGATGGGGCTTTTTCGTCTGACTCGCCGCATGAGGGGTTTATACCAGCCTCCTGGTGGCACAGCCCAGGACAGGAGGCCAGCGGGGGAGGTAGGGCACTAAGAACACACCCCTAGAACACTGCCCTGCTTCCAGGTGAGCTCCATGCTGCTTGCCACCCCTTCTGGTAATCTCCCATCTCTAGGTTTGTGCACTAGCTATGTGGGGCTTACAGGTGTCACCTAACCCACCCCTGATGGTGCCCTGAGGAAGGAAGCACTACCATGACCCCCATGGTGGGGGAGATCTGGGACATCCTGAGCAGCAGTCATTGAAGGTGCAGGAACTGGCAAGTGGAGGCAAGCGGCCAGATGCCAGCCTCCCCTAGGGACTGCAGGGACAGCTGCATCAGCTCAACTGCACACAAGGTAATGAGAGGGCCTGAGGGAGGAAGGTGAGCAGGCAGAACATGTGTGTGAGAGGGCATCTCATTCAAGACACAGGCAGAGCAGGACTTTGGAAACAGGCACCCCAGGAAAAGTGGCCTTGGCAGTAAATCCCAACCGCCCTGTTAGACGCAGTTTCCCGACTCAGATCACTCGAGGAGAGATTCGCAGGAAAGTCACCTCCCGCTGTAGCCCTAATTCCTGAGCTTCCAGCCTCGGGAAGTCCTATCTTGAGACCCGTGACCGGAGTCTCGGCTGTCACCGTTGACGGTTTCTGACCCGTTTGCCAGGAAAGAATGCAAAGGCATTACAGGTTCATCCTGTGGCCCAGGTCAGTCCATCCAGACCAGACCGCCACGGCCATCCCGCCTGAGCAGCCCCCAAATCCAACGTCCAACGTCTCTACTTTTAGTGTTCCCCCAAGGCCAGGCACCAAGAACCTGCCTGGGTCCAAGTCCAAGTTGCTGTGTACGCCTGGGCCCCTCGTGGGCCCTTGCAATAAAGAGGCGTAAGAGGAGAAGATGGTTAGGGACTAGATGCTCCTGTTTTGAGGGACCCTGGCTGCGTGCCTCCCAGGGAATTCCTAGCAAAGCTAAGCCTCTCGGGCAATCGCTGCAGGGTGGGGATGTGGAAATCGGACACCCACCCAGGCAGGATACACCCTGACTCTCTGACCCTTCCTCAGAAGATGGGCAAAGTTGGATGCACAGGCAAGGGAGAGGTGTGGGGAGAGAGATGG